CAGAAGATACTAACACGGATAACACTGGGTTGTATCCATGAGCAGTGGCTGCCAGGAGTGTGGGTTAAGGATTGTGAAGCCAGGGCACGAAACCCAGGGTGAAAGAATCCCCAGATCAATGGCCTTCCATTGGCCTGGCAAAGAACATACGTAGCATGTATTGGGCATCCCTAGACTTTAAAACATTCTCCTGAGGGTATGATGAACATAAAACAAGACACTTGAAATTGATCCTTAAAGTCAAGTTGTATCCAAATGCCACTACCACTTTAATTATTGTCATTATTAATGATGGACTATTAGAAGAGAAATGCAAAGAGGAGCCTACCTCTATCTTCTTCATTCAAACCAAATCTTCTGGGACGTCCTTGGGAGCATGCATTTTAGCAATGGCCTTCTAAGACAAACTCCCATCTTTGCTACATATGACCTGTAAGTGAAGGAGAGTGGAATGGACACAGTAGATTTTAGACAAAATGGGAGCAAGCTCTCTGGTCTGAAAGTCTGGAGAGAGAATTGCCATGGGAGCAAGAGGCAAGGCCTCAGCGTGCTCCTCACGCCATCCTGTGTAGGCAGCCAGTGAATTTGCCCAGGCCCTGGGCCAGCTCTGGCGGGAGACTGGGTCAAGGCTATTTGCATGTCTGTTTTCAGGACATTAAGTTAAGTTTTGTCTACCTATTCAAAGTGAGGAGGATGTCAGTGCAATCATGCAGAAAACTTAATTTAAAAAAAAAAACAGAAGGAAAAAGGAGATAAAAGTCTTGCTTTCAATTAAGTACAAAATTTATTCTCGGTGAAGTGTGACCAGGACGTCCTAAGAAAGATACTTCAGTGTTTTAGTGAAGAATTGAAACTTTCCCTTATGTATTTTAAGGGATAATGATAAAACAGAAAGACATAACTATTATTTTGTAAGCATAGTGCTAGGTCCTGCCATTTCTATGTTATGTCACTGAATCCCCACAATTGTTCTGTGAGATTGGATCTAAGGCTTAGAAATATCATGTGCGTGGCCCAATTTCTCAGGCCCATAAGTGACAAAGCCCAGCTTCAGATCCAAAGCTATGATTCAAAGTGTGTGGAAATACCCAGAAATTTAAACAGTACTGGCAACTTGGTGTTGAAACTCTTCTATAAATAGTTCCCTGGTTATTTCTAATTCTCATTGACTTGGTAGAAGGCAAGCTATTCAGCAATATGATACAGACAGATATTTCCTTTTCAAAACATTGCACAAATACATGATTTCCTCCCTCTTTCCACCCTGTAGGAGAAGTAGGAAAAGAGCAAGGTTATAGGAATTTACCTCCAAGCTATAAAGCCTTCCTATCCCTTCAGTAATCTCCAAGGAGAGTTCCTAGTTACTAAGGAGACCATAATATGCTCCATTAGATTCCAGTACAACACTCGGGTTGCCTGGCTAGTGAATGCCAAAAAAGCAAAGGAAAATATTATTGTTGCTGAAATCCTTTGATGTCTATGACTAATAAAAAAACATGTTGGCAAATTGAATTACTTGAAATGTCTAAAGGCCTTGGTTAAAGTTATGAATTAATAGCATATACCAGTTCTGTCTGGAGAAAAGAGAGAACAAAAAAAAAAAAAAAAAAAACTATTGTAAAATGTATTTGAATAACCAAAGGTCTCAATGGTTGTTTCTAAGACTACCAATTGAAGCCTTTTATTCAATTTTTAATATAAATTTAGTTTTCCACTCCTCTTTTCCCATAGAACTAAACAATCAAGGTTGTATATTTTGAGTTGCTTCATCCTTGAATTCTAAGGGACCCACAGGCCTTCATGGCCTTTTTATTCATCTTCTCACAAATACAGAATGAGCTGGAAAGTGTCCCCGACAACTGTTCCAACCCTAGAAGCTTCCAAGGCTGTGGTGTCCATTCATTCTCATTCTGTGCCCTTGGGGGAGCTGGAAAAAGCCAGAGGTGAAGAATTGAGAGTAAGCCAGACTCCCAATTACCTCCTGACCTGAGTCCCAGAGGTTACTAAGGGCCTGCCCAAAGATGCTCATCCAGCCTCTTCTTGATCATTCTGGGAGCAGGAGGTCTTTGCCAGGGCCCATCCCACCTTATTATGGGTGTAGCTCTGATGGTTAGGGAGGATGCTTCTCCATGTTGTGCCCTAACCCACCTCCTTGTGCTTTCTACCCATTGTTCAACCAGGTCCTGGACCTGCAGGTCCTCTTCAGAACAGCACTGTTTGACTCAGTTCCTTCTCCTCTTGAGTAGTCCCTTAGGTGACTAAAGTTGACTGTCATGGCTGGTCTGTTATCCTCAATGTCTTTCTCAGATCACAAGATAAATACATATAATACAAATAACAATAAGAGGAGGCAGAATGTATAATCACTGTAAGAGAAATGAGTTAAATATAACTGAGAAGCTGAAAATCTTAACTGATATTAAAAAGTACTGTGTCCATATACCAGGCCCCTCATCCTCTCTGTCAAGTCATCAAAATGGAAATGTAGCTTGATAGGACTTCTTCTTAGTGACAGACACCATGCCAGCCCCACTGACTGCCCATCAATTCTTACAAACCTGGGTTTATTTTTTTTTCTTTCATTTAGTTACTATCAATGCATATGTTGAGAAAAGTTTCTAGAACAAGTGCATACCTACATATGATAGTTGTGACATAATCTGAAAATCTGAATACTTTCTATTAAGAATTAAGGGAAGGGCAGTGTAAGGAAACTCAATTCTTCAGTTCTTTCTCTACTCAATCTCTTATAATGATAAATTCCAAACATAGAGAAAAGTGGAAATAATTTTACATTGAACACTAGAGGCTATGGTGAACATTTTGCTACCTTCAATTTATCACGTAGCTCCTCTTTTCTGTATCTACCCATCAACCTGTCTTATTTCTTATGCATTTCTGTGGAACTTGCTCTCATCAGCACACTTAATCCTTAACACTTCAGCACCCGTATCATTATCAGTTCTTTTATACATAAATATCTATTTTCAGTTAGCCCTCTCTTCAGAATCCCCCTGGCCATACTTTCCTTCATTCTCTCCACTTTCTCAATTTTCATGTCTGCACCCTTCTTCCTACTTGATAACATCAAAGTTCTAAGTGGTAAAAGGAAAGTGTAAAAATCTGAGCATGAAATGGTCTTAAAGTAGCATCCAGAGAGGTCACTGGTGACCACACAGGGCATCATAGGAGCTTTCACTGCAGGCGTCAGTGGACGAGGACCTCACTGAACAAGCTGGCCCAACCCAACAAGCGAAGGATGTATATATTAGCGTGCCAACCTCTAATTTATATATATCATTAGAAATAACCGTCAAGTACCCAACTATTTCTTGATCAATTCAGTCTCTCCCTGAACTAACCTCGGTGGCAGGCCAAATTAGGAAGGCTTTTAGTGACTAGATACTCACAGGAAGGGAAGAGGAGCTTAGTGTCCTGGAGGAAGAGATTTCACCAGCTCTGAAGTTTCAACGATTGGCCAGCACAGAGCTTCTTAACTATTAGTACAATGATGGAAAGAGTCCATGAATATTAACTATCACGCTAGAGCAGTGTTTTTCAAACTTTCTTATCTCACAGCACACTTGAACCTATAGTTACCCTTCCACAGCTTACTTAAATTATGTTGATAAAAAAAAAAAAGAATATACTTACTGTGTTTTGAAATTCTTTTGAAAATAATTAATGATCTTTAAAAATTCTCACGGTACATCTAAGATCCTCTCATGGCACACGGGTTGAAAATCACTGGTTTAGAACTACCATGAAGACCAGGCCTTGTGTTGTAGCTCAGAGCATCTGTCATCTGGATTGTGCTGGGTGAACCCTGCCACATTCTACCCCTCAACTCCCTTTAAAGAAGTTTCATCCTTGCCATTCTCCTTTGAGTAAGGCAGTCACTTTTAATTGTGTTCATGTCATTAATTAAGCTTTAGTGAAGTCCTGATCTTCCTGCTTTGGGTCTAGAAGACAGCATGTCTTTAAAAATGGGATGTCTGTGCCTACTTGATCCCACCTTTAGTAAATTTGATTTATTGGATTTACACTTACAGAGAAGAATGATTCCCTGGTGCCCGAGTGTACTCCCTTCATAGGTCAGGGAAGAATAGACTCTTCCCTGGTGAGGAAATATTATCCCTTTCCCTATCTCAAGATGTATGTCTAGTAAGAAATGCTGTTTATTTGGAGGGCTTCCTAATTACCAGCCCACAAAAACTCCGTGGAGTGGTAGCTACACAAAAGTGCAAATATACCACTTTTCATAATAGCTTCTCCAAAGTGGCAGGTAAGTCCAGTTTTGGTAAATCAAACCCACTTTGAAAGCCAGAAAAGGAGCTTTCTAGTCTAAAGTCTCAGGGTGAATCCTTTGGTTATGTGACAGCTTCCTGCTTCAGCCCTCCCAATGGTTTAGATATCATAAAGCAGATTATTTTACAGCAAGGCATTCCCACTCCCTGCTGCTTAAAAGCTCCCTCTTACCCTAGACACTTTCCCTATGTGGATACTGTAGTAAATATCTGCAAAGATGAACATTTTGTGGTCACATGACACACTTTAGAATTTATTTGAATGCAAACCATCATGGTGTCAGGGGAAATGATTCAGAATCAAGGCTCTATTTCACAAATCTACTCATAGGCTGGATAAAAACCCTGATACTTTTAAACATTAGCACCTCAGCAGTAACTACCAATAGCAACTAGGGTTCTTCTCTGATTGCCTCTGTTATAAACAACCAATCCCTGGGGTCTAGATTAAAAACTCTCTAAGAGGGGGGATGATACTGTGATGTAGAAAGTGGGCTCTTTTTTTGCAGGGCTTCAAATGCCCTGACAGGAGCACCTACACTCTGCTTCCCAAAGCCCAAACAAGACTCATGTCTATAGCTTTCCGTCTGAGTGGGCCTTCAAAGAAAGTGTTAATTCTGATATCATTAATTCCTTTTATTCCTTCGATGCCTCTGTCCCTAGTGACGGAAACTCTTATTTTTTTTTTTTAAGAAAATAAAGCACAAAAAGAAAATGGAAAAGCTACATATTGATTTGGTAACAGCTAAGCAAGAGGCTGCCATCACAGTCCTGGAGCTCAATGAGAAGATAAAGGCTCTATGTGAAGGAAAGGCAGCCCCTAGAGGTCAGTATTACCATGTGACAGTTGTGCACTGGCCCACCTTCCTGGGTGATGCACACGGTGTTATTGGCCACAGAGGAAGACAGAGTGCACAGGGCTAGGCAGCCTGGTGGCCAGAGGCATGCTGGCCTGGCCTGACCTGGCCTGGCATACGTAAGGAGCACACGAGCTGCTAACTCTGGCTGGATGAATAAGCGGTTCAGGAAAGGAAAATCTCTGAGGCTAAAGAGCTGGCCTGTTACCCCCTTATCCTACCTTCCAGCTGTGTGGCTTCCTCTGAGGCTAAAGATCTTTTTGTTGAACAAGCTGTGGCCGTGGGGGACATCCAGGGCGTAGGAGGGAAGGCTGGCACCTGCAGGAATGGGGATCTGGAGTAAGGCACAGGCTGGTCAACTAGACCCGAGAAGGGAAGTGCTTTCTTCTTTTTCTTTCTAATAGGTGAATGAATCAGAAACAAGCAGAGAAGACTGTTTAGGTATGAAATTTGGATAGTCCAGAAAATTTTTCATAGCTGCATTGGTTTTGATTTTTTAATACCAGATTTCTCCAATTAAGAAGCTATACATATACCTTGGGAAAAAAATCAACCCCAAACTTCAGATTGTCATCATTAGCCATTAAGTTAACATTTAATAGAGTATTGAGCATTCCACGTGTATTAAATTCTCAGGGTAACCGCCAAGGTAAGTACACTTAGGAATTCCACAGGAGTAAGCAGAAGCGTAGAGATGGTATTTATCTGGCCCCAGGAATATCCATGCAAGCAGCACTTAGCAGGGTAGCTTTCCCGGCTTTGATAGACTAAAGACGTTCCTCTCTGCTAGGCAGCAGCAATATCCAGTTTTGTTTCTGCCTGGTAGATCTCTGGCAGAAGCTGTGGTTCCCTGGGATAAACGTCTCCCTTTGATGTGTGCCACTCTTGCAAAGCCGGGTACATGCCATTGTTCTTACCC